TGGTGGTGTGGCAGGGGGAGGTGTCGACAGATTTAGCTGCCGCAGTGACATTTTCGTGCTTACCGGTGGCGTGTCAAGTGCGCTGAAAGCTCGCCGATTCATACCTGGTCAGCCTTCAGCGCAGGCGGAGCACAGCTGGTCTAGTGGTATTTTGGTAGACCGGCGGCGTATCGGCATACGTCACCAATGCCTCACCAGTAGGTTTCCACAGTGTCAGACACATTTCAGTGCAATAAAATAATCATCAACTAATAATCTGAGTCAGCACATACCTTTAGATTTATATAGATATATTCTGATCTATATCTGATCTGATGAGATCAGATATAGATAGTTTGGCATGCGTTTGGACACACAACCTGACCGAATCAACACAGCTGAAACCGCATTAAATTAAATTAAATATCTAGTAAATAGACACACATGATGAAGTCAACAAGATATGTAATTCGTCTCCCTCCTTTGCTTTCTTCCTCTTATTTCTCGTGCAGCTCGACCTGGACATGTCTCCATGTCCTCTCCTCGTCCTGCTGCAGCTGCTGCTGCGGCAGCTGAACAGATGATTTGTTTCAGTGATCAGGGGCCTTATGTATCAATACTTGCGTGGAACTCATACCAGAAATGAGCGCACGCAAGGTCCGTCACGCTGAAAAAAATCCGTATCTATCAATGTGTGCGGGCGCCGAAATCCACGTGTGTTTCCTTGATAAATCCCAATCAGCGTGGAATTGAGCGCAGATGTCGGAGTGACTGGGCCCGTCCCCGTTACGCCCTCCTATAAATATGCAGATTTATTTAAATAGGGTCTCCCTGTCCTCGCACGCAGACAAAATGAAAAACTAAATTTACGGCGTGCGAGGTGGAGGTGCTGGTGGCGGAGGTGGAGGAGCGACAGCGTGTTTTGTTTGGCAGCCTGTCCAGTGGCGTCAGTGCAAAACAAAAACGCTTGGAGTGGGAGAAAGTTTGCGAGAGGGTGAATGCGGTGGGTTCCGAGACACGCACCCCTGCGAAGATTAAAAAAAAGTGGTCGGACCTCAAGGTGGAGGTCATGCGGCGTACAGCTGCCCTCCGGAGGAGTACTGGCCAGACAGGTGGGGGTCCGGGGGAGGAGACCCTCACACCGTTTGAACAGCGGGTGGTGGCGATTATTATTATAGGGTAAGTGGCGTGTCACACAAATGTCCACATGCTTTGTCATCCCACTGAGCAAAGGCGTATATTAGACGTCTAGTCTAAGTTTATACTTCATTTCAACGTCGGGATTCAGTCTATTTTTAGACGTGATTTATACTTCGCCCTTAACTTCATTTTTCGATAACTTTTTATGCAATAAACAACTGTAATGTGCATAACTGACCTCGAAATACAGGATAACATTACCTATGATACTGTGGAGAGAGATGTAAACGCAACAGATACACAGAAGCAGGAATTGAAATGAACAAATATTTTTATTGTGTCACAGAAATCAATGTGTCGGCCGTGTCGCCGGCTTGCGGAACCCCGGCCCGCGGCAGCCAGTCCGCCGGAGTCGTCGGCCAGGACCAGCGGCATTCGGGCCACCCCGGCCCCCGGCCCCAGCACCAGCATCAGCACCAGCGCGCCGACAAGCGGTGGAGCGTCCACCAGCCGCGGCGCTTCCGCTGGACCACCCGGACGCAGTGGAAGGGTCCTCGCGGAGGGGGTCCTGCAATCGCAGGAAGAAATCATCAGGGGGATCGCGGGGATCAACGAGCGGCTGGACCGGCTCGTAAATGTCCTCGAGCGTCTGGTGGAGAAAATAAATTAATTTGGCTCATTGAACTGTGTATTCACTTCTTACGCATTCACACTGTGGCGATGAGATTCTCCCGCGCGAGGACGGCGGCCCGGCAGGGATCAGCTCGCATCCCTCCGTCTGCTGCTGGTTCGTCATGTGGGGCGACGTGCTGCTCGGCCACGGGGATGTGGTGCACGCTTGTCACATAGTGAGTCACCAAACACCGCCACACAGCGTCGCCAAAGTGCAAATCACAGTCAACGCAGGTATCGGCTCAATGCCAATTTCTACACCACCTCCTGACTTTGCGTTGATTAGCGCTGGATTCGACGATCGTTTCGCGATGATAAATCTGGACGTGTGCGCCGATTTTGGCGTACGCAAGGTTTTCTTGCGCCGCAAGCGTTGATACACTAGGCCCCAGATGCGTTATCTACTTTAAGCCTACATACGAATATTATAACATTCAGTTTTGTGAGCCAAATTTATTTTATATGCCAACATCTATAAAAGAAAGAGCCAGGCCAAGGAACGCGATGCGTCCTTTACGCACAGATGGTTCCAATTTTAATGCCATTATTGGAATTTATGACGTGAACTCTGCGCACAACCTTTGATAGCTGATAACACTTAAATGTTAAACACTTTTGTATTGAATTGTAAAAGGTGACAATGCTTGTGTTTCAGAACATATAAAACATAAACATTAAGTTCTCGCTACATCTATTTGCCTTTCTTTATATTGGTTTAGCTCACCAGTGAGACACCAAGACTGTGTCATATATGTAAAGATAAATCATAACCATGCCCTAAGTAATAAAATCTTCATAGATGTATGTGCCTATGTGAAAGAAACTGGAAGTCTCACTTTAAGATCCTAATTATGTTCACTTCATCTTACTGGTGCACAACAAAATGAGGAAGCTCAAATGCAAACCAAAATTGTGATGACATTACATTTTGTCTCTTTGAAATTCAAAAGGACATGTGATTGTACGTGTTCTGTATGCATTTTCCTGCAGGAGATGCAAAAGCAGATGCAGCATGTTTTTCAATGTTTAGTTTATGATCCACTCCAAAAGACAAATGCATCAGTGTCATTATTACACCACTATTACTAAAATGTCAGTAGTACTGAATCTCAGTTGTTGACCCTTTGTGAACAGACTTACCTTAGTTTATTTGCTTTAAGCTCTAATTTAGGATCAATATGCAAAAGTATTTGTTTTGTTTGTTTGTTTTTTGTAACATTTTCCTTTCTCTGTTCATAGTTTATCAGTTGTTTTGGAAAACACCTTATTAGAAAGGCAGCCATACAGTACTCTTCATGTTCATGTGCTGACCAGCTGTTTATCTGGTACTCTCCTCATAGCTGCTGTCACTGTTTGCCGTCCAGTTCCTGAACGTAGCGAGACATCTGCTAGGTCAGATCCCAGCCATAGTCCACAGCTCCAACCCTCCAGTCAAAGCCTTCAGCCTTCGAGGGACGAGGCAGAGCTTTGCACCCATCGAGGTCAGAGATCAAAACATATGATAATAAGGCTATAAGGACTTGTATGCATTCTGCGTATGGAGTGCACACAGCAACACAAAAGCCACTTATGTAAGGGCAGTTACTTAACCCTTGTGTAACCGTCGCAAATTACACCCTTTGGTAACGCTCAGTTTTTTGACTGCTGTAAAAACATATTGGATTCATATTTTTTCCAGATTTTTTTTCATATATCTCTTAAGTAACTTCTGCTCTATTCAAAACTAGTATATTTTTCATGAAGCATCAAAATTTTAACCCTTTAAGGGCCAATTTAAAACAAAAAGTCACTAAAATTGGGAAAAAATAGGAGAAAATGACTGATATTTAATAGAAAACATAATCCTAAACTGGAAATCTCTTGCAGGGTAATAAAGCCTTGAATATGTAAAGGATTGGTAATATCATTGACTTTGATGCCCTTTAAGTTTTTTATGTAGGATCAGATTTCTAAAAAACATCCTATCTTAACGCTCAGTGGCTAAAAATAGCCACTTACTTTGACTGCTGTAAAAACATATTGGATTCATATTTTTTCCAGATTTTTTTTCACACATCTCTTAATTAATTTCTGCCCTGATCGAAAGTAGTACATTTTTAATCTCAAAACATTTTTTTAACCCTTTGAGAGTCCATTCATAACATAACACCACTGATATGGTACAGAAAATAAACAAAAATGACCTATTTCATAATCAGAAATAGGCAATTCTTTATGTGTTGCATAATCTTGGCCTTGTTAAGGATTAGGAACCTCAGAAACCTTGATGCATTTTTGTCTAACATCTGATTGTCATAAAAAAATTACACTTAAACTATTCATGTCTTTTCAATACTCGCATTTTCTTTGCGTACCAGCAGGTGGCAGTAATGAAAAAATGTAACCAATGTAACATTAGAACCAAACCATATTTTATTGCTCAAAATGCAATAACACAAAAGCCACAAATATAAAACAACAGAGTATCAAACCAGAAAAAACTAACTTTTGGGGGTGAAGCAATGGAAAGGATTGAAAGAGCCTAAGAGAGTGAAGGAAAGAGAAAAAACATGTAAAAGTGTGCGTATGTTGTGTGTGTGTTGTGTGTGTGTGTGTGTGTGTCTGTGTGTGTGTGTGTGTGTGTGTGTGTGTGTGTGTGTGTGTGTGTGTGTGTGTGTGTGTGTGTATGCGTGTGTGTGTGCGTGTGTGTGTGTGTGTGTGTTCAATGTTTGAGGCAAGACGTGCAGGTGATCACCCTGTGCTCATGGCAGATGTGTTTCCCACAGCACACACAGGTTCTGCCAGTTCTCTTTTTGCAGAACCTGCATGTGCCCCTCAACCCTGTGGAGCTGGTGGATGGCTCTTCTGCTGGCTCGAGCTCTGTTTCAGAAGGGGGAGCGGCAGATTCAGCACCCTGCATATCTCTCACCAGTGAAGCAGAGGTTGATGCACGAGGCATTGTTTCTCGCCTCAGAATTGCTGGGGACACCAAAGCCATTCCCAGATCCTCAAGGAAAAGCCTCCTCCTGAATCGCCTTCCCTGGTTCCAGGAGGGATCCACATCTGAGAAGATGACGTAGGCGTTGTATGCCGAAATGTCCAGCATATTAAGAAATACCACCAATGGCCATCGCATGCATTTTCTCCGGCAGCTGTAAGTGCCGACGAGCTGTAAAAATAAAATAAGAAATCAATCACACAAGATCTCATGATACATATATAATTCTGTTCTAAAGCTGCACATATCAGTGAAAACATTCATACAAATATTATCAAAATACATCACCCAAATGTATCGCTCACAAGACAACTGATCAAAAATAAAAATGAAACACACCTTGTCAAGATTATCAACGCCGCCCTTGCAGCGGTTGTAGTCGGTGATGACTTCAGGCTTCCTCTTCGGGCCCTCTGCAATCACTGGCTGTCTGTGTTTAGTGCTGATCAGGACAACATTTCTTCCCCTCTTCGGCACATAGCTCACCGCCATTGTGGTTCTAGTGAAGGCAAAAACCGAGGAGAGGACATCTCTGCCTTTGGTGTCCAGGAGTTTCGGTGGGAGCTCGGGTTTATTTTTTCTGATTGTCCCAACCAAGGCTATTTTTTTCTTTAGAAGCTCCTGTCCAAGTTGGAAGCTCGTGAAAAAATTGTCGCAGGTCACAGTGATGCCTTTGACATCCTCCAGTAACTCCAAAACAACTCTTCTTCCCTGCCCCACCTCCCTAGCATCTCCACTCCTTCCTGTGTAAATGGAGCATCTCCACACATAGGATGTGCAGGCATCTGTGGCCATCCAGATTTTGAGGCCGTATTTGGCAGGCTTTTTCGGCATATACTGCCTAAATTTGCACCTTCCTTTGAAGGGAACCAGCTGCTCATCAATGGTGACATCTGAGCCCGTATTATAGAGGAGAGAGAGGCGGACTCTCCACATGTCCCACAGGGACCTGATGGGGGCCAGTCTGTCGTCCCTGAATCGGGCCCGGCGCTGCTCCTTGTCATCGAATCTCACTGCGTTCATTATTTGGTGGAACCTATTCCTCGTCATAGTCGCTCCGAAAATTGCTCGACCATTTTTTGGACCCCACAGCGAGGCAGTAGATTCACCTTTTGAACGAAATAGTCCAGACAAAATAAGGAGTCCCAAAAAAGCCTGGAATTCTGTGGCGTCTAACTCTTTCCACTCCTTCAGATTTCTGTGCCCATACAGGTTGGTGTTTTCAACCACAAGGTCAATGATTACAGGGGTGAAAAAAAGGCCAAATGCAGATTTGATATCATGGACCCTCACAGTGGCATAGTAAGTAGGTCCCCCCTTCTTCCTGCCCATCTCAGGTGGATGGAAGAGTGTCTCCTGGTTGGTGGGAGACCGAACTACACCATTTCTCCCCGTCCATGTGGTACTCACCGGGGTAGCTTCTGTCCCCTCCTCCATTTCTGAGGAACTTGATGGTTAGGATGACGGCTGCGGAAGAAAATCCGGATCGGACTCCGAAGTAGTGGTGGTCGACTCGGTATCTGAGGATGATTGATCCTGTGGGGGATCAATGACCATAGAAAGGGCCTCTGAGGTGCTGAAGCTTTTCCTCATCCTTTCGCTTGCTCTTCTCATGAGAAAATGATCACTAGAATCTGCAAGTTGTGGATTGCAGGGGTGGAGCCAGGGGTGGGGCCCCCGAAGATCAAAAGGCCAGATAGCAGGTGCATAAAGAACTCCAGACATCAAAGCTCACTTTTGTTTTTGTTTATTTTTTCCACCTCTCTGTACTTCTGAGATCTGAAGAGCATAGTTGACTTTTGTGGCCAGGTCAGTGCTGGGTCATGATCTGCAGGCTCCTCTCTCTCTCACATGCACACACTCACATGCACGTATGCACACACGCACGCAAACACACATTTTTTGGGGCTTCCAATTTTGTCTGGCCTGTTTTGTTCGAGGGGTGAATCTACTGCCTGTTCTGTGGGATGAACACAGAGAGATCTCCTGCCGGTCTTGCTTCAAACATTGTACAGACACACACACACACACACACACACACACACACACACACACACACACACACACACACACACACACACACACACACAGCTGAGTTCTGGCTCAGTACATTACTACCAAGCTGGTACCGAAAGAGAATGTGAGTATAGAAAAGACATGAATAGTGCAAGTGTTTTTATGAGGGTTTTATGAAAGTTTCTATGAAAATCAGACATTACACAAAAATGCGTCATAGTTTCTGAGGTTCCTAATCCTTCACAAGGCCAAGACTATGCAACATGTAAAAGAATCACCTGTTTCTGATAATGTTTTATGATGAAAATAAGTCATTTTTGTGTATTTTTCTTCCATATCAGTGACATTATGCTTTGAATGGACCCTCAAAGGGTTAAAAAAATGTTTTAAGATGAAAAATTTACTAGTTTTGATCAAAGCAGAAGTTAATTAAGAGATATATGAAAAAAAATCTGGAAAAAATATGAATCCAATATGTTTTTACAGCAGTCAAAGTAAGTGGCTTTTTTTAGCCACTGAGCGTTACCAAAGGCCGAGCGCCTATTTTTGACCTGGTGAAAATTTTGAAGTCATATTTTCAAAGTGTCCATCAAAATAAGCATCCACACAAAAAATCATCCCATTTGCTGCAGTAAAAAAAAAGTTACATGGAAATTGGTGGCTAAATTCTGCCCCTCGTGGCTCTTTTTAGCCACACCGTTACATAAGGGTTAAATCTCTTAAATCCTTGCCATCAGATGTAATCAGATGATTTTCATGGGTTTGTCAAATGAGAAAACACAAGCAACTATCAGTAAAGGAGGAATTTCCTGTGTAATCTAATGTGCTTGTGTATCTATAAAATGAAATAATATTAGTCTTTATTATTCACTTATTTAAAGGATACAAACCTTATCATTTCTTTTTAAAGCTTACTCTTTTTTTCAGAGGAAAATTGGCATATTTTTGTGGTGAAGCATATTCATTATCTGCAACATTCCAGGGCTTGGTGTTCCCAGAGATGCAGTAGTGTTTGTATTTTTATTTGTTAACACAGAAGCTCCAACACATATTTGTGTAAGTGTAAATGTGTATTGTGTGAGGTAAGAAAAGGCCTTAGTTTAAAATACAGTCTTCGAACAACTTTATGTTTTTGTCCATCATAAAAAATATATACATTAACTGCATGAATATTGTATTTTTCTGTGGAAACAAAGCATTAATATGTTGTCTCTCTCCTTGCTTTAATTTGTTCTAATTCAGGTCCCCACAAAGACACACCCACCTTAGCAGATGATGAGTCACCACTCCCATTCATCTGTCATAATGTAAGTTTACATGTTTGATGTTTTAAATTTCCTCTACATCTGTGATAACTTTCATCTTTGATTTTTGTGGCTTTATTTTGCTTAACATAGGACTCTGTGGGACCGGATAATATTGAAGGCTTCGCAGCAGTCCAGGGCTTGGCAGAATTATTATTCCAGCTGAAGGGCCATAGTCTTTCTCTATCAAGAGAGGAGGCTGCCCACATAGTTTCTCTCTGGGAGTGTTTGTCAGATTATGACAAAGGTCACACTGTGTACACTCCACGCCACCAGATCACCCTCCTGAAAGGGAGGTTCAGGGCGACAAAAAAAATTGTTGTACCTGGTGTACAGAGTACAAAACGGTACGTAGTTTTTGTTGAGCAAGAATAACAATGATACATGCTATCGCATGATTAATGTACTAACACTAATAATGCTCAATATCTTTGCAGATGGTTTGCAGCTTGGAGGAGCGCAGCGCAGTGGCTTGACTGCAATCGTGTCTGTAAGTCACTGTTCATCAAACTTTGTGAGGAGTACAGTGGACCCAGACGCATTGATGGAGTCAGGCATGAGCACTGGAGCCTTGTGCCAGGGCATACCTCCACATCCGGCAAGTGATTCTGAACAATGCTGTGGTGATGGAGGGGACTACTATTCAGCTTCCCTTTTTTTTGTTCTTACTAACTCCAAAAGGTCTGAAACATGCTCCGAAAAAGGTCTTGCACATTGATTTTACCACAAACCCCAAAACCCTAACCCTCGCCCCGTTACCCAATACCCGGGTGTCACACAAAGGAAGCCCTAAAAAACAATTGACATTTTTCCTTTTTTTTTTGGAAGATGCCCATGTGTTTGTTGTGCCCCCTACTATTGCAGGAACAGCCCAGCTGAAGCAGACTCAACAGCCCAGTGGCTCCATTTCTTAGGCCGCCTTTCCTTGCAGCTCTGGAGCCACCACTCCAGGCTGCCGAGCCAGCTTGACAGCTTCTCCTGCATGTACCAAAACCACTCCACGCTGCAGCACAAACTCTGCAGCCTGCACCTCATCCTACTGTGCCTGCAGCTGGACCTCTCCTGCTTGCACCCCATCCTCCTTTGCCTGCAGCCCGACCTCTCCTGCTTGCACCCCATCCACCTGTGCTTGCAGCCTGACCTTTTCTGCCTGCACCCAGACCTCCTCTGCCTGCAGCCCGAACTCTCTTGCCTGCACCCAGACCTCTTCTGCCTGCAGCCCACCCTCCTCTGCCAACTCCACAACCTATGGTTTCTGTTAGACCTGCAGGAGCCTTGCCTTACACTACCCAGCTCTTCCATAAAAGGAAACAACAAGAGGAAGAGCAAACTGGCTAAACAAAAAGGTCTTACACAAGTAAGACCAGCACCATCACCTGTAAACAGTGCCAGAGGGGAACCTGCCACCCACCAGCAGTACTTTGGTAATTGGCACTGTCAGGCCACAGCCACCATGACTCTGGCTGAGTGGAGGGCTACACTTGAAGCTTAGGGGTACGGCAAAAAGAGAGATAAAAAATAGTAATGTAATGTATATGATATGATATGATATGATATTATATAATGTTACATTATATCATGTATATTGTACTATTACATTATATTATATCATATTATTTTGTACTATATTACATTATATTAGGCTACTCTGTTCTGAGACATTCTGTTACTGTTATTGTTTATGTGTATATATTAATTTGTTTACAATGAGCACCTACTGATTGCACTGAGTTTATCACTTGATAATATTAGGTCTATTCTATTCTGTTCTGTTCCATGACATTAGAGACCTGTTACTCTTGATATTTATATATTTATTTGTTTACCATGAACAAGTACTGATTGCACTGTTATTACTGCACTGTTTTACTTGTTTGTAATAAATGTTTATTGACATGACTCAGTACAACTAAGTGTCATTTTTCATTCAAATGCAATAATATTGCACATCACTAGGACAAACAGCAAGTTATTGTAATTCACTAACAACAGATGTGTCAGACTGCTTCACACATCACAATCAGGCTATATAAAATTCATTAGTGAAGTGCTAAAGGGTAGGCCTTGCTTTGTCACAAGGGTAAGCTTTTACCTTTTTTAATTACAGTACTTGTAATAGTCAATACTTGTAATAAATATTATGAATAATATTAATAAATAATAAATTGATGCCATTTTTAAGCAGAACAGAAAATATTAACATCTGGTAGACACCATTATTAGCAGGGGTGGAAGTAATTTATTGCAAATACTGAAGTTACTGTGATTAAGTAGTTTTTGGGGTACTTGTACGTTTATGAGTAGACTGATGAGATATGATATGATATATTACTTCATTGGTCAGCTTAAGCTGAAATTTGTCTTGTGACAACAGCAGCATGTATGCAACAAAAAAGAAATACATATACACACATTTGACATGGACACCAGAGACAGAGAAACAACAACAAAAAAATAATTACATACATAAAGACATGAAGACAGGAGCCAAAGTCCACCACCCTGCTTACCCCTGGCCCAACTCCTGATTAAGCCTTAAGGTCGACTGGTAGACAAAGGACCTTTTTAGTCTGACCTTATTGTATGCTGGAACACCATATCTCCTTCCTGAGGGCAGCAGCCTATATTCTCCATACAACACATGGCTAGTGTTTGAGGTAATATTTCTAACCAACCTTAGGACATTGCTTTCATACATAGCTGTATATCGCCTATGGAGTGGTTGTCCAACAATTTCAGTTGTTGCAGCAGTTTGGCTTTTAGGGCTGCAGACAAACATCCATACCGTGTGCTACTACGGTACTGAAGAACACTCATAATAACAGAAGTAAAAAAACAAAAGAAGGATCTGTCTACTTGCACCAAAAGATCTTAAACGGCGAAGGAAGTAGATTCTCTGCTTTGTTTTCTTACACACTGATTCAATCTGGTCTTTCCATGACAAGAGACAGTCAAATACTACTCCGAGATATTTATACAAACATACCTGGTTGATCTGTTCACCGTGAATAGTAATGGGAGATCTATGTATCACTGGTGGTGTACCAAAAACAATCTCTTCTGTCTTTTTTGTGTTAATGGTGAGAGCGTTGTTATCACTCCATTCAACCACGCTATTTACTCTGTGTTGATGCAGTTGAGGATCGCTGGAACTATCTAACAGGGAAATTAAAACTGTATCACCTGAGTACTTTAGAATGTACTGGTCTGGTCCGGCAGTGCGACGTTCAGACAGACATTCCTGTATTTATGAGCAGTTTGCGAAATTTGTTATTACACATGTTGGAGAGGCGGGAATTGAACTGGCATCTGCCGATGCATACAGCTGGGGTTCCAATCCCACATGAGACACATGCAACAAGGCTTTGTTGCAACTCTACTACTCCAGTAACCCTGACCAGGCTGAGGGATATATGGTTGCTTCGATACCACAGTCAATGCTAACACAGAAACAGCTAGTAGCTCTCACAACCATGGCAAAGACTTACTTTTTACAGTGTACACTGACTCTTTTTTCACAGCTTTACCATCCTCCGAGACATGTTCTTTGTCTATAAAGTCACTGAGGGGATACAAAGCTGTCCTTACATTCCTTACATTCAGCTCTCATACTTTATGGGTTTGTAGAGTTGTTTAACATTAAAATCAGCATTATAGCACCTGTGCATCATCTGAAATATTGACCAAACTGCCCCTCTTTTAGCGCAACCACACTTGTATTACATCTACTCACAATGTGCTTTGTATTTAGAGCTGACAAAAACAATAATCCCACCTAGGTGAAAACAAAACCTCTTAGCATCAGACTGTGCGACAGTTTGGAAGCTGACCATACCTTCACATATTTCTGCTGAGTTGCTAGGCAGCATGCCCTGGGAGTGCCATCCCAGTGCAAAAAGTAGCTAACAGCGAAACTGTGATGTGCCTGACTGGGTTTGTTTTTCTGCAATGCCTTAAAGTGTGTCTGACAGGAAAACAATAAAACAGCTAGAATTGACTCTTCACTCTTCACAATTATCACACACATATTTGGCCACGCACACATTTCATGCTGCAGGCCCATGTGTTTCAATCATGCAGTCATTAAATATCTTCGTAAACCTCCACAGTAAACCCTGCTTAATAGCTTGCCAGTCTACTCCATGCATAAGTGTTGTGTCATTGTATCTTTGGCAAAGCCCTCAGTGTCTTTCTGCCGAAGTTTGACCCCCTTGCAAAAAGATTACACGTCAACATTTATAGTTATTATTTCTGTAAATCTGTCACCGGTTTAAAGTGTGATCTGCCAAGAGACTGCAGACATGACTTAGCTTTAAGCTAACTCTGGATAATGCATCAAATATCACCATTTATTGTCCATGGTCCTTCCAAACATTCAGTCAAAGGAACTAAACTGCATTGGTCATTTCATTATACAGTAGAATGAACTATAAATAAATATATTTGACAAACAGTAATTGGAGTAACAGTGGTTTGAATGATAGTGTTCAAATCAAAATCAAATCAAATCCAATTTTATTTATATAACGCCAATTCACAACAGTCGTCATCCGAAGAAGCTTTCCAAAGAAAAAGAGCAAGTCTAGACCACACTCATTGTTCAATGAATTATCAAGATCCAAGCTAAAGATCGGACAGATTTGACCCATCTCATCTAAAATGAGTGACAGTGGCCATGATAAAAACTTCCTTTTAACAGGCAGAAACCCTGGGAAGGACTGGACTCATGTCAGACAGCCACCAAGCCGCTGCTGGGTTGGGGAGAAATGCAGAGAGATAGGGAGGGAGAGAGAGAGAGAGAGAGAGAGAGAGAGAGAGAGAGAGAGAGAGAGAGAGAGAGAGAGAAAGGAGTAGGAGAGAGGGCAGGAGGAGAAAGAGAGAACAAGGGAGAAGGAAGGAGATAAAGAACTAGTAAGGGAGAGGGAGGGAAAAAGAAAAGAGAACTAGGGTGAGAGAGAGAGACGGGACAGCAACAACATTAAAAACAACAGCAACAACAACAACAGCTCATGCAGAGTTGTGGTTGGAGAGCAAGTAATAATGAAACAATATGAATTTAGTTTACAGGATCAGGATATCAGTAATTACAGACTATGTTAAATTAACTTAATGTGATAACAGTCAGTGGGCCTAATAGTGGTTAACTCTCATTTTATGTTATTGATGTCAGTTAGGCTGACATACATGACTGCGGCAACAGTCCAGAGGAACCTAAGAGATGGAGGAGCTCAGGGTCTGAGGTGGACAATCATAGATGATGCAGCTGGGGTCAGGCAGTTCCACAGCAGACTGTCTGCAGCATCAGTCCAGAGGAACCTAGGAGACTCAGGGACACTGGTTCTGGTTAGTGACTTAAATGGGACACAAAGATCTGAAGGAGAGAGAGGGAGGGAGGGACAGGAGCTCAGTGTGCCAGATAACCCCGGCAGTCTAAACCTATAGCAGCATAACTAAGAGCTGGTTCAAATCAGCCCTAAATATAAGCTTTATGAAAGAGGAACATTTTAGGTTTACTCTTGAAAGTTGAGAGGGTGTCTGCCCCCCGAACCTTGAGCGGTAAATGATCCCAGAGTAGAGGTTCCTGATAGCTGAAAGCTTTACCTCCAATCCTCTTTTTAGAGACATTTGTTACAACGAGCAGACCTGCAGACTGTGAGCATAATGGTGTAAGCAAAAAGTAAGGTATTACGAGCTCTTTGAGACATGATGGAGCCTGGCCATTAAGTGCTTTATATGTCATAAGAAGCATTTTAAACTCAATTCTAGATTTAATAGGGAGCCAATGAAGAGAGGCTAAGACAGGAGAGATGTGCTACCTTCTTCTAGTTCTAGTCAGTACCCGAGCTGAAGCATTTTGGACCAGCTGTAGAGTCCTTAAAGACTTATTAGTGCAGCCTGATAGGAGAGAGTTAAAGTAATTCAGCCTAGAGGTAACAAAGGCATGGACTCCTTTTCTTTTGCATCACTCTGAGACAGGATAGGGCTCATTTTTTAAATATTGCGAAGATATTTGTTGAATGTGGGAACTAAAGGACAAAGGCTGATCAAATAAAACTCCCAGATTTTGTACAGTGGAGCTGGAGGCCAGACTGATGCCACCTAGCATAGTTATGTTTTTATATAATACCTCTCTAAGGGGTTTTGGACCAAGGTCAAGAACTTCAGTGTTGTCTAAGTTGAGCATCAGAAAGTTAGTGGTCATCCAGGATTTTATATCTTTGAGACAAGCTTTTAATTTGGTTATCTGACTTGTTTCTTCTGGCTTTATGGATAAGTATAACTAAGCGTCATCCGCATAACAGTGGAAATTAATCAAGTATTTCCTCATAATTTTACCCAGAGGAAGCATGTGCAAAGAAAAGAGGATTGGTCGAAACACTGACCCTTGTGTGACCCCATAGCAGACTTACGTGTGCGCAGAGGATTTATTATTGACATGGACAACCTGAGATTGATCTAATAGATAAAATTTAAACCAGGATAGAACAGTTC